GAATGTACAACGTCTAAACTCATACATATATCCGGTTATAGGGGCCTGCCTATGCTATGGGGTAGTTGGACAGCTAATAATATCAAACAAGTTCAACATATCACATCAACTACTCATCCAGCGGGTCACTCCAGCCTACTCCGGGGTATCCCGCTTCTCCAAATAAGGTGCTCCGCGCTTGCACTGTGGCAGAAACCTCCAGAAGAAATTCGTACAGTATGACCACGTTGGTTAAAACATGGCCGAGGGTCGCTGACCGCGGCTCCTCATCAGCAATCGCACTCTCGGCCTCTTCTTCTGCCATTGCATCTGCCGCTGGCTCGGGTTCTTCACCAGCCACTGTTGCTTTGTGCGGATGGTCCACTTGGAATGGCTTCGCTAGTCGCTTTCGAAGTTCCTCCGCTGCCGTCGTTCGAGGCGAGGAGGACTCACGAGAATCGGGAGAGCGAACTGAAGATCCACGAAGCGGTGAGCCCACGGCGGCCTGTCGGGAAGCTGGTGTGCCTGGGGGATCTTGCACAAGTGAGGACCTCCCTCGGGGTGACCCAATGTCGGAGTCTAAGGACATCTTCAGTGGTCGCCGTTCAGGAAGACGCATTGATACTTCGAATGGTTGCTGAACGCGGCCAGTGTCTTTAGCAGGATCATCCTGATGGAGTAGGTCCCGCCGAGCTGCAACTAGAATGTCAAAATCCGGCACATCCTTCCGCCATTGCTGGATTCTCTGCACAAGTCTTTGCAGTGCGGATGTGAGCGTTGGTGTCTCAGAGCTCGACAACGAGGGTTCTTGATAGGCTAGCTTTATTTGGTCTAAGATTTCCATAGGTCCATCCTGGGCTATAGTCTGACCGTCGTATACGTATTTAGATGGGTCCACAAGGAGCCAGCTGTCAAGGGATATAAGGTGGGAAGATGCGATACTCATGAGAACCTCCGTTAATGCTAGGTTAACGATGACACTATTAGTAAAGAATGTCTCCACACAGTTCAGCAGTTCCTGGACAATAGGGTCCTCCTGGCGAATCTCCAGTGGGCGGTCATCTTCCAGGCCAGTTTCAGCCGGTGGGATATACAAGTGAGATTCTAAGATCAATGAAGCATCCTTGAGGTAGTCCTCAAAGGACTCATTTAGCGTGGGGTCATCCACAATCGACGTGGCCATTCCTGTAAGCTGCTCCAGCTCTGCATTCAACTGCCCCACGGTTCGTTGCCCGGCATATTGACCAGGAACCGTTCGGATCAATGACCGGGCAAAAGTATGATGCCGTTGGAGGATGACCGCCATTAGCCGTAGCGTTGCCAAAACAGTTTGCCGATTGGCAGACTGCAGCCCTAGGAGAGCAAGGTCTCTCAGGTTAAATAGTGAAGGTGACGGTTTCGCAGCTTCTTCAGAGAAAGCGGCTAAAACGTCCAAAGACTTCCGCCGGCTTACTGACATGTTCACTTTCAAAGTAGGTGACGTTTCCATGTCGGAAGGTGAGGCTAGTAAGAAGTGGAGAATACGATGTACCAGATCATCCTGGTTAATCGACTCCAGAATGCGATTCAAATAGGTAAGCACGGCAGCGGTAGAACCGCCTTCGACATCTGAGGACTCGAGCAGTGATGGGTATCTGTTCACGCACAAGGGTCATATCAGCAACTACTCAACCATTCCACCCTGGGACTCACTTACAGAAGTTGTTCGAGAAACAAGACCTGAAAGTGATCTAGTAATGTGCCGTTGACTTCCGCTGATTTGCAGTGGTCAATAGTGTCCTGCCAAAATAATAGATACGACATGAAAGAATCTACAGTTGCCCCCAGTGCAGGAGGAAGAGCAGTCTCTTGTTTCGCATGATCTGATAGTGCAACAATGTGGGGCATCTTCTCGTCGGAAGTTTCATCGAAGGACAGGCTTTCAAACATCAATCAATATAGCTCGAGGGAAACGAGATTAACAAGATACTCACTTGCCTAGCTGACTATACAGCGCACCTAGTCCCGTTGCCATTAGCGTGGCTAGATCGCTCTCAATTAACCATCTCTCTAGGTTCTTTGAGCGAGAGGCTGTCTCTATCAGATAAAGAAGACCGGTCCGAGCAAAATCACCCGCACGGCCCCCGTGATGAACATATTCCACTAACAAGTAGAACAGTGGGAAGTCATCCTTCCGAGTTGCACCCGCGAACTCAACCCCAGTATTGGTTTGTTGCTCACGGTCTTGGTCTTCGGACCTCGGAGCAAACCACGCAGGGAGAATATCAGGTTGCAGACGGATATTATTGGCGACACCAAACAGCAGCTCGACAAGCCTTCCTTCCACATCTTCTGTGTGTTTGTCTGCACGTCGGACAAGATCCACCAGCGCCCGCGCAAATAGCCGGTTATCCACTACTCCATCCACCTCCGAATCGATCAAGGTATTGAAGAAGACAGCGGCGGAACGGAGCATTCCATCGTCGTAAGAAGACAGCGCGAGTTTGGTGACAGTCACGAAGATCTGAGAAGATGCAGCATATGCTAAACACGGATGAGGAGCCGGGCCTCGTGATTCATCGCTGAGGACGGAATTTAGTCGGTCAATGCAGTTGCGCGCATGGGTTGTCGCAGACTGATCTCCCGACGGCGAGTTGGTAGAGCGCCAGATTTGCTACAGAGGGAAACGTTTAGTCGAGGCCTGACAGGCGGCGCAGTGAGAGAAGAGCATACTTGCAGAGTATTACAAGTCCGCTTGAATGCCGCCAATCGCTCGGTAGGAGAGCTCGCCCGGTACGTCTTGGTAGATAGCGAACGGGATCCGCCGATTAAACGAGACCACTACCGCAGATTAGCTAAATTGATTTCCAATAGTTATTGAGGGAGACTGTTAAGTAAGGGCTCAGACGCAAGAGTCAACTTACAAAATCCATGATTGCGTGAGAACAGCATGATACTATTCATCCGCATACATGGTCAAACTGTGGTGTTATGGTCGCACAGGAGACAACATCCACAGGGATGGGCATTAGTGAGACAGGCACAATTGCGATTTGAATGAAACGAGGAAATCTACTAACTGGCTTTTCTTCACCTGACAGCAAGATGGCCGAGTCAGTTAAGGCGATAGATTGTATGCTTTCCAATTGGCTAGAAGCTATCTGTATCATCATGAATGGATGATTAGTAACCTAGTATGCTGAAACCCGATTATCAAAGATAGCAGGGTTCGAGTCCCGACCTTGACATTCTTTTTCCAACAGGTTGTAATCACATCATTGTGATCTACATCAAGTATCTAGTGAATGCGTGATCATATTACCTTGGGGTGATATGAAGATTATTCACTGTTAGACCCAACCAACAAGCCTTCATCCTACCAGTGTCACTAACCAAAGCATGCCATGTGCAGCTATAGTGCATCATACACTGAACTTTGAGTCAGGTGTAGTTTATTTGAGGGGTGGAGCAAGTTTGGCTGGTTCCAGACTTGGTTATCACTAGTGAACTTATTGGCTATGGAAGCTGACAGTGGCCATTTCCAGACATCTACATCCACTACCAATGGGTCTACCATAGACAATATGCCATACGGTATCGATCACCATTCAAGCCCATGGGCTGGAGATCGACTCATAACTGAGTGAATTGTTCGAAAATGTGCTGAATCAAAAGGGAGAATACCCAAGGGTACATATTCACATCGCGAGATGCAAATCAAACCATGCCCGCCATCACAACGCCGAGAGAGTATGCGCCCGCTCTCCATCCCAGTCTAAAATATCGCCCATCAAAGTCGTTTAAACAAAGAAAAGTAAAAATGAGGTTAGGAAGCATAAAGCGCGAAGAAAAAGGAAAGGAAAAAAAGTGAGGTAACGCCGACACCCATTATCCATAGCTAGTCGCTGTCGTCTTTCGGTCGTCGACCTCCGCGCTTACGTTTCGGTTGTTCGTTTTGATCACTTCCATCATCATCGTGCTTTCTTCCTGCCGGTTGATCGGGCACCTTGGCAATGATGTCGGCCAGAAAATCTAATACTTCATCTTTCGCGACCGCTTGCTTCAGATGCGATGCGGTGACGCGTTTCGAATTCCGGTCTTTGGCTTCCTTTGCAGCCTTGGTGACAAGAGAGATCATAAAGAGTTCTAGAGCTTTGGCTATAAACAAAACAAAACGCGTCAGCATCGCGTCCTAAATAATCCGGAGGTATAGCAAAGAAGGAACATATCACATACAGACAGCGATTGGAGTCACCTGCGCTACCTTACCGACATCTTCATCGGCTTGCATAATGCGCTTAATGCGCGCGACAGGGAATTTTGTCTTCACTTCCACGCCCGCCGTGGGGTTTGACTGGGGAGGCTCTTCCGGCAGCACCGGTGTTGGTTCGACATATGGTGGTTCGACATATGATGGTTCGACATATGTTGGTTCCACGTATGTTGGTTCCACGTATGTTGGTTCCACGTACTTAGTTTCCGGTATGGGCACAACCTCGGCAGCGCGCGCGATCCGAGACGACCGACGAGCCATGTCGGGATCTACAATCGGGTCTGCGAAAGGAGGGATATACTGTTGAGAGGCTCGACGGGGTGGGGGTGGAGGAACAGGGTGGTGGTACTGCGGGGTGAAATAGGGAGAGACGTTGTAGGATGCGCGGTGATGAGCCAATGGGTTCGCTAAAGAGTATATGGGCTGGGGGATAGAGGGGGGAATGGGGGATTGAAAGGTGGAAAAATCGGGAGATCGAGGTCGGTAGGAATTATCCTGATCTGTCATAGCTGGTGTGGGTTATTAGCGATTAATATTCCTGCAGAAAAAAAAAATAACACTAATTAAAATTAAAATAAAAAAATAGAAAAAAGTGGTGATGGGGATGCGCGAGCGCGAAACAGGAAGCCGCTAGTGTGATAAATATGGGGTTGGGTGAGTTTAGTTACTGTGGTTTTTATGGGCACGTACCTTGAAATTTGACAATTTCAGTGGTCAAGAGGGATTCCAAGTGGACATGAAAAAATAAATAGAGTATGTCACGCCTGGGAGAATGTTATAGGCATCGAATGGAACATTAAAATACAGGTGTATAAATAGAACTCCTGGACAGTTCCTTGTTTGGTATTTCAGATCTGAGATCAGATTGTCGAGGGAGTAAACAATCAATAATAACGGTAATAAGGTAAGAGATTGGTATGTGATTTTTGGTTAATGGATTGTTTTGATCGATCGCGCCACGGATGGCCCGAGCTTTTGTCTTGCTTCGAGAAGAGAAAACGAAGGCTAAGTGCGTGGGCACAAGAGACTGTGGGCTGTGGGCACAGCAGCCAGAAAATCTGAAGGGTCCTGGCGTCCTTTTTTCATCCGCAGAGCAGCGGTCGCCCTTTTTAACCCTGCGCTCCCGGTCCACTCGCACACTAAAAATATGTACTAAACCATCATTTGGTTAGCCTTGAATGGTTTTAGCTTTTTCTTTTTCTTCTTCCACCGAATGTTTTTTTTGTGCTTTTATTTTTTCTTTATTATTTTTTCTTATTTTCTGCGGTTCCTTCACTCTCCCCTTCTATTATTTGATACACTTTCTAATGATGATCTCGAGAACTTATGACGACATTGGCCATGACTTTTGTTGCAGGCGCTACTCCATATTGCCTTACTAACGCTACAAGTTTAGAACCTCCTATCTTGTCCTACGTCTGTTTATTGATATATTCATTCTCGTTGTTTTCATCCGCCCCTTCTTCTTGCGAAGGAATTATCCGGGAGATGAAAATAATTACTGATCTCCTTCCTCACCCTCATCATCATCATGACCCAACGGGTGGCTCTCATCTGACCACTCGCCACCACGACCGTAAAGCGATTCAATGTGGAAAAGGCCGTGATTGGGTCCCAATCCTGGTTTAGCCTTACCGCGCGTGATCCCGTCTGTCGGCTCAGGATTCTCCATACTAACTAAAGACAGCTTTGAAGATACGTATTGTTTATTTTCTGCTTTAGCCGTGTGTATCTTTCTTTTTCTCGTCATTCCTGTCACTATATTCCAATCAGGGCCTTCTAATGTTGTTGTCTCCTCAGGATATTGTTAATCGCATCCTTTCTTTTATCTCTCGTTCTTATGTTGCTGCTGTCGTTATCCTTATACTGTTCTTGCTGGTATCACCTCGAGTAGGCGTGAATGTCTGATGGAATCCTTCGCAAACTGCCCATGACGGTCGATGATGATAGAATGAGCCTAGAGATGTTGGGAAAGGATGAACACGGTAGGCAGAAACCTAGCATTGGTATCGCCGCTAGTTTCATCCTCTCTTGCTAATTACAGCAATACCGCATCCGTGACGGTGAAAATAACTTGATCTAATCTGATGGCCAATCGGTTCTGCTGCTTTCCTACAATTTTTTGATCCAAAGTAGTCCCGGAAGTCAATATATTTTTTATTTCAGATATGTCGAGTATATCGAATTATGTTGCTAGAGCCCGTATAGAGTTAAGCAGCCTACCCTCAGTCCCAGCCTTGTTGTCGTGTCGACAGAACCCCTGATGATAGGTCACGGGCACCTGTCAGCCTTGGGCGGTGTAGGCAGTACTAGGAGGTCGTGCAAGCCATTCAAGTGAAATGATCGACAACCTGCACCAACACGTTTCAGAAAACCATCCGAGGCTTTTTTCTTTTTTTTTTTGGTCAACTAAACGCAGTACTCGAATGCATGATGTTGTTTTGAGACTCTACTGGTCATATCTATAATATGTATTCTACTAGTAGGACCTCGTACATACATACATATATCTCCCTTACAGGGAAGATAAAGAGGACAAAAAGGGAGAATGCCGGTGAATGACCGCCCACAATTGTCACACTCCTTAGGGCGGGGAGCAAACAAGCAAACAGGAGGGACGCCCGGTCCGCACATTGTTCCGTTCCGACCAGCCTCCGGCCCGTCCAGTCCAAATTTGGTCAATCAGTCAGATTGCGACTTACCACGATCATTACTCGCTCGCCATTCACCTGCGACGTCGTTGGGAATGCGCTTCATTACCTACTGATGGCGAATTGAGCCATGCCATCTGCCTTTGCCATTTGGGCTAGCCTTTACGTGTCATACGCGCCGGCTATCTAACTTTCGGACTTATCTCGTGCTCTCTTGACCTCCGTCTTGACTCGATTTTCCCCATGGCTGCAACGGATCAGCCTTCGGGCTTGATGGATATTGCGAGGTAAGCAATACCATTGGGGATCGCCCTTTTAACCTTACAATGCGTGGTGGCTCATTGTGTTACCGGTGAATTAGCTCTCTCACGCAAGATGAAATTCCATTCAAGCTGCGATGCGCTATCTGCAACAAGCTGGCTGTGAACGCGTTCCGGTTGCCTTGCTGCGATCAGGCTATTTGCGAAAACTGTACGAGCTCTACATTCCTTTGCTATTCGTTGTCTTCCCATCATGACTTGATCTAACGATCTCGTCTTAGGCCAAGCGTCACTGCCAGAGACCTGTCCTGTCTGCGCACATACGCCTCTCTCCTCCGATTTATGCAAGCCGAATAAAGCTCTCAGGACGACTTTAAAGGCTTTCCTTCGTACCGAGGAAAAAAAGCGTGAAAAAGAGCGCCAGTCGGCAACTCCTGCGGCTACCAATGATGCGACCCCTGTGCAGGGAACTCCGGCCCAGCAAGAAACACCCGCAGTTTCCGATATCCTGGAAACTAAACAGGAAGAAGTCATACCAGAAGTGTTACCCACTGTTGAAGCTCCGTCAGAGGAGCCTCTAGCTAGTGGAAACCCGTCGGAGGCTGTTACCGAGCAAACTGATGGGGATCATGAAGCTCCTGTGGAATCCCAACCCCCGGCCGAGGTAATTCGCGTCCCTTACACTTGCAACAAAGAAGCGCAGTTATTGACTGTCTCGCCTCAACAGGACGAACCGACCGAAACTGTTCCCACGGATGGAACTGAAAACCCGGATGCGACGCAGCAAAACGGTTCTGGCGAAGGAGAAGATGCAGATGATGCCAAATTGGCTCAGGAATCTGAACAGCACATGTCCCAGGGCCCGGGGTCAGGGCAAGTGCTTCCGAATGGGATGCCGTTCGGCATGGCTCCGGGGATGTTTCCCATGGGTTGGAACAACAACGGGGACTTCAATCCGATGTCTCAGTTCATGGGCAACGGAATGTTCAATCCTATAGGTATGTGTCTCACCTCGTTCATAAATTCTATAAATGGGAATTGCTAACGGTTTGGGTATAGGAATGGCCGGCATGATGGACCCGATGGTCGCGAGTCAGGGTATGTTTGGAGGTTACGGGATGAACATGAATGGCATAAATACGGGGATGAATTTCGACGCGGGTCAAGGGATGTATGGGGGATGGGACGGCTCACAAAACAATATGTGGAATGGAGGCCAAGATAAATTCAATCCAAATGCTTTCGCAAATGGTATGGGCCCACAGTATGGGGCCCCCTCTGGATTTGGCGGATATAATATGTCTCAACCCAACGGAGTTCATCCTCAAATGCAGCAACAACAATTCCCTAACCAAGATTTCCAATCCGGCTATTATGGTCCCGGGTATGGCCGGGGCAATTTCCGGGGCCGTGGTCGCGGATTTTACCCCGGTGGTCGTGGCCGCGGCGGCTTCACGGGACCTATGCAAGCTAATTACCCTCCTAATGCTAACTACCCAGCGTTTAATTCCCCTAACTTCAATCAAGACATGTCAACCCAATCGCAGGAAGGCGTATCTGCAGAGACGCCGACTGGAGACCCCAGCGGCACTGAAGCGACAAATGCTAATGATGAGAATGCCCCAGGTGGCGATTTGGATGGCACTAAAGACCCATCAATGAATGATAATACTGCTGACCTGGGCGACAATGGTGAAGTCAGTTCTGCAAATGGCCCCACCATGGAAGAGACTGGTCCAGAGGACTCGGAGCTGCGTGGTATACCAACCATTGACAGTCTTGACCAGGCCAATGCCGCCCAGGGGATGCACAATGGCCCTATGATGCCGGGGCCGATGGGGCCAGGCTTTGGCCGAGGTTATATGCGTGGTCCCTTTCCCGGAGGCCGTGGAGGGCCTTTTGCTGGGCCACCCTTCATTCCCGGATCTGCCATGCCTGCACCTAGAGGACCTGGTGTCGAAGGCGCACCAGCTGCTCCCCGGGCGATGCGGGAAGGTCTTCCAAATACTAGTGTTCTCCGGCAGCGGAATTTCCAGGGAGCGGGACGAGGACCTGTCTCATCGGTGAGACCCTCTGATGCTTCGCAGAGGTAAGTCGTACCCTCCCGTCACTGACGGTCTGTAGGCCTAGTCTAACATTGTGTCCAGCACAACCCCAGCACCTCAGGAGGACAACCGTCCACGTTCAATTTCAAGGTCGAAGTCGCGAGCTCGGTCGGCATCGAGATCGAAAAGCCGATCTCGTTCCCGTGCGCGGTCGCAGTCCACCAGTCGTCGTCACAATCGCCCACGCTCCGCAAGTATCGAGAACGGCGCTGAGGACTCCGAGCGCAGACGTGAGCGGCCAAGAAGGCCCCGTCGTGAAGATAAATACGACGAACAGTCTCAAGCGGAAGATGACCACCGCACTCGTTCACCTTCTGTTGATTCCCGCCGGTCATCTCGGCGGGACAGGGAGCGAGACAGAAGAAGCGGCCGTCGATCGCATCGCTCGCACCGCCACCGCAGCCAGAGTCCCAGTCGCAATGGAGACTCTCGTGATGCCGATCGTCTCCCATTGATCCCCGAAGAAAAAGACACCAACTCTCGAAGCAGGACACCCATCGTTAGCGAGGCCCAGGAGAGCTCCAGCCGGACCTACCGATCCGGCAAAGACCGCTCCAGTCGTCGCGATGAGGAACGTGAGGGAGATCGAGATTCTCGACGTCGGGATCGTGAAAGAGATCGCGATCGTTACCGGGAAAGGGAAAGAGACAGAGACCGTGAGAGGGATCGTGACAGGGAAAGGGAAAGAGACAGAGATCGTGAGAGGGATCGTGACAGGGAAAGAGATAGAGACAGGACCCGCGATCGCCACCGTGACCGTGACCGTGATAGAAAACGGTCTCGTCGCGACCGAACTGAATCTCCCGTCGACAGTGACTACTCATCGCGACACCATTCCCGGCGTATCAAACGAAGCCGCGAAGACGAGATCCGTGATAAAGACCGAGCAAGAGACAAACCCTCTTCATCATCAACCAAGACTTCTGAACCGGAGAAAGACCCTCATACGTTAGAGCGTGAGGCCCGCAACCGCGAGCGCTTGTTGAAAGAGCAGCAACGGCGCGAAGCGATGCATGCAGACCGCGATACTGGTAAACCCAGCCGTCGACGCGACAGTAGGCAGGAGCGGCCGGCGGCCGGTGGCCGACGCCTCACTTACAAGTATGAAGATGACGAGAGCGATGCCGCTCGCGCGGCACGAGTAGAAAATGAACGAGAAGCCAGTCGATGGGCATAAAAATCCTTCATATCTTCCTCATACTCCCCACCTACCTCTCGAGCCATATGACTTTAACTTTTTCCTCACCATATCTTCCCCTGTCTTACAACAAAAGAGCATATAGAGCGTTTCAGGTATTTTTCGTGGGTTTGGAGTGTTGTTCTTGCATGAAGGAGAGCGGGCATACTTAGTTCATGGATGTTGCTGTTGTTTTGTTGACTTTGCGGTGGAGTTGATGAGTATCTACGCTTTCGTTCTTTGTAGATATACCTCCTGAAGATCCCTGATAGGATGAAATAGCGCCACATGTGGCAATTTATAAAGCTAGATATCTTGCGTCAGAGCTTGAGAAGAGAAGTAGTTAATTCAACACGTAATTGAGTAGATTGTCGCTTGGTCGCCTTTGATATATATATCCTACTGGCATTAAGTACCTACCCACGTGACGTATGTAATGCTATACATCGTTCGAAATACTAGTACTTATCAACCCTCTACGCACTTCATTTTCTCCCCTAAACTGCTTAGGATTTGAATTATACCCCCATTGTTTACATACGGTTGAGCTGATGATGTCGTTCAAGGAAAACATATATATTTATCATAACTGATTAACCACACATATCGTCAACTTCTATCATTTCCGCTCAAGAAAACCAGGTAGAACAAGAAACAAAGAAGCAAAAAATGGTATTTGCATTGACATTGCAATCATGCTGTCAGTCATAATGAAAGGCATATAACACGACATCGATGGCTATGGACAAAACGAGAGACGGGTCTTTTGGAAAGGAATCACAAGAAGAATACAATTATTATAGATACAAAGCCAGAGAAGGACTGTTTAGCTCAGCCTGGCCTCAAGAGCCACAATCTTCTCGTTCAGGCTTTGTATCTGCTTCTCTTGGTTGGTCTCGAGAGATTCGATCGTCTTGGTCAGACTCTCAATCTGCTGCTTCTGTTCGTGGACTTCGTTCAGTAGAGGCCCGACCATATGTGTGAGCTTCTGGATTTCGCCATGGAGGGCGCTAGCGGCCG